TCGAATACACCACGGGGAGCTTGCCAGGCTCTGCTGTGCGGGCGGGATACTCTCGGTAGCTTGCTGGGCTCTCCGAGAGGGATGGAGGAATCGAACCCGGGTTGACCGCGTGTGAAGCCTTACCCCCTGTGCTATCGCTCCAGACCACCAGAAAGTAGTGATTTTAGTTGATACAATTTCTTATTTCAAGGAAAACCCAAAGATCTAATCAGAAAATTCTGTAACTCTTCCAAAAGAGGCAGATGGAGGGAGAAAACACAGAAAGGCAGCATATAAAAACTCCGGATGTTTCCTAGTCACCAAAGTATTTTCATGTATTTCAAGCATTTAAAGTATTTTTGTACCTTCCAGGATTGATGTCAAAGAGATTTTTCTAAAAGATGAAGGAGATTGAGTTGGTAATTGAGAGGTGAATGGCAGGCAGCTTGACAATCCTTACTTCTTTGGGTTTTAGGTATATATGTGTCTCAATTAGCCTGAGACCCAAATTTAAGAGCTGACTTTCTTGTTAGCTTCACTTTTGAGATGTGGGTACTGAAATATAGCAAGGTTATCGTGGGTGTTGATGACAGCCAATATTTCAAGTCGAGTTGTCATAACAATACACATGAATGGTAACATTAGTTCAGACTAGAAACCTGACATGATGTATATATATGTATAATACCAACCATATGGGCTGGAGTGATAGCACAGCGGGTAGGGTGTTTGCCTTGCATGTAGCCGACATTGCCGACCCGAGTTCGATTCCTCTGCCCCTCCCAGAGAGCCCGGCAAGCTTCTGAGAGTATCTCGCTCGCATGGCAAAGCCTGGCAAGGTACCCGTGACGTATTCAATATGCCAAACACAGTAACAAGTCTCACAATGTTACTGGGCCCGCTCGAGCAGATCAATGAACAGTGAGGACAGTGACAGTGACCAACCATATAGTTTGCGCTAAAGACTAAATGGAATAATAAACCAAGCACAGTATCTGATGCATCATGGCTGCTCAAAAGAGTGACAGCTGTTACTGCAAGAAGGATAATCCCAGGTGAAAAAGGTGATTCTGTTATATGTTTTACACACACACACACACACACACACATAAAATGTTGTTATATATCTGTGGGTTTCAGGAGCCATCACTATTTTTTGTGGGGGGAATGGTGGGCACCATGATTGATACTCAGGGCTTGCTCCTGGCTCTGTGCTCAGGGATCACTCCTGGTGGGGCTCAGAGAGCCTCTGGGGGTGCAGGGGATTGATCCCAGGTGGGCCACTGCAAGGCAAGCACCTTACCTGACACTCGGACAATCATTTTTTTTTACCCTGGGATTGATGTCAGTGGGCCTCACGGGTAGCATATGTGAAGCAGGGAGGAAAAAGACAGCCACTTTCTCCCGATCCGCCTTCACGGCTGAGGGACGCAGGGTTACTGCATTCTTGTCTCGCCTCGCAGTAAAGAATTTCAGGAGTAGACAAGTAGTGAGGTAAAACAGATTTTTTTAATAACTTTATTTATTGAATCACCGTGAGAACAGTTACAAAGTTTTTGGGTTTAAGTCTTTTAAACCCAAAGCTTTTGGGTTTAAGCTTTTGGGTTTAAGTCATACAATGATGAAACATCTGTCTCTTCACCAGTGCACATTTTCCATCACCAAAACCCTCAGTATACCCCCCATCCCACCTTCTCTCCCTCCCTGTGTGGCAGATGATTTCCACATTACTCTCTCTCTACTTTGATTGCATTCAATATTTCAACACCAGACCCACCATTATTATTTGGGATTTCCCCCAACATTCAAACCTGCCGAAAAGCCAACATTAGACAACTTGTTTTCTATTGCTGATTATGAATAGCATATGATGTTGCGAGGCTGCCAGGGGGAATAGGAGGAGGGACCGCACCTTTTCCCACCTGGGGTGACCTGGTGCCGGTTACTTAATGCCAAGTCTGGACGCATTTCTGCCAAAAGCCACTGGGTTCCGAGATTCATTTGAGTTTCTCTGGGATCATGGCCGAGCAAAACAGATTTTTATTCAGAGGTTTTTGAAGGTGTGGAGGGGAGGGAGAGAGAAAGGGGGGAAGAGAGGGAGAGGGAGAGGGAGAGGGAGAGGGAGAGGGAGCGAGAGCGAGCGAGAGAGAGAGAGAGAGAGAGAGAGAGAGAGGTTCAAGGGAGAACTCAAGTTTCTCCAAGGGTGGAGAGAGCCCCTACACATATCCCAGCATTAGACATGAAAGGATGAAAGTACACATCTCAAGAGTGGAGATGTGGATGCCACATGTGCTCAGCCACGTGGGCGCAAGCAGCACATGAGCTTGGGTAGCATTTGCGTGTCCTTCCTTTATCCAAGGTGGCTTTTATAGGGATTTTCCAACCTGCCCCCACATGGGGCTTCTACCTAGGAAAAAGTTCTTTGCTAAGGAGGTTGCTGAGTTTTTGGCTATTATAAAGAGTGCAGCAATGAATATACAAGTGCAGATGTCATTTCTACTATACTTTTTTGCCTCTCCGGGATATATTCCCAGGAGTAGTATTGCTGGGTCAAATGGGAGTTCAATTTCTAATTTTTTGAGAAGCGTCCATACTGTTTTCCAAAAGGGTTGAACCAGTGAAAGAAACTTTGGTACATCTACACAATGGAATACTATGCAGCTGTTAGAAGAGATGAAGTAATGACATTTGCATACAAGTGAATCAACATGGACAGTATCATCTTGAGTGAAATGAGTCAGAAAGAGAGGGACAGGCATAGAAAGATTGCACTCATCTGTGGAATATAAAGTCACAGAATGGGAGATTAACTCCCAGGGGTAGTAGAGATAAGGACCAGGAGGTCTGCTCCTCGGCTTGGAAACCGGTCTCACATGCTGAGGGAAAAGGCAGCTCAGATAGAGAAGGAAACACCAAGTAAAGGATGTTGGGAGGACCCATTGAGGTTGAAAGACGTGTGCCGAGAATAGTCTATAAACGAACACGATGGCCACTCAATACCTCTATTGCAAACTACAACACCCAAAAGGAGAGAGAACAAAAGGGAATGCCCTGCCACAGAGGCGGGGTGGGGTGGTGGTGGTGGGAAGGATATTGGGAACATTGGTGGAGGAGAATGGGCACTGGTGGAGGGATAGGTAAACGATTATTGTATGGCTGAAATACGAAAGTTCCTAAGTTTGTAACTCTACCTCAAGGTGATTCGCTAATTAAAAATTAAAAAAAAAAAGGAGGCTGCCAAGGGGGTTGGGAGTGGTGCTGATATTCTTTGAAATTCTTTTCCTGGCCTTTCGTATCTGCTGGAGCTTCTCTGGGTCTGTTGCTGGCTGCGGGTGAGGGTCTTATCAAGCTTTAGTTCCTATTTTCTGCAAGGTTGGCTTTCTCAACTTAAGGGCTATTACTTCCCAGGAAATTTATTGCCCTTTGCCTTAGGAGGGGGCCTTCCCTACCTGCCTGCCTGCCACAATCAGGATTCTTCTTACAATAACAGCTGTCGCTCTTCTGAGCCGCTATGATGCATCAGGTACTGTTCTTGGTGTATTATTTCATTTAGTCTTTTTTTTTTTTTAAATTTTTCATTAGTGAGACATCATGAGGTACAGTTGTAGACTTACAATTTTTTGTGCTTGGGTTTCAATTCCAGCCCCAGCTGTCACTCTTCTGAGCCGCTATGATGCATCAGGTACTGTTCTTGGTGTATTATTTCATATAGTCTTTTTTTAAAAAAATTTTTCATTAGTGAGACATCATGAGGTACAGTTGCAGACTTACAATTTTTTGTGCTTGGGTTTCAATTACACAATGATCAAATACCCATCCCTCCTCCAGTCATTTAGTCTTTAGTGCAAGCTTATGAGGTTGGTGGTATTTTCTTCTTTTCTTTTCTTTTTGGGTCACACCTGGCGATGCACAGGGGTTCCTCCTGGCTCATGCACTCAGGAATCACTCCTGGCGGTGCTCAGGGGACCATATGGGATGCTGGGAATTGAACCCGGGTCGGGTGCCTGCAAGACAAACGCCCTACCCGCTGTGCTATCACTCCAGCCCCAGCTGTCACTCTTCTGAGCCGCTATGATGCATCAGGTACTGTTCTTGGTGTATTATTTCATTTAGTCTTTTTTTAAAAAAAATTTTCATTAGTGAGACATCATGAGGTACAGTTGCAGACTTACAATTTTTTGTGCTTGGGTTTCAATTACACAATGATCAAATACCATTCCTCCACCAGTCATTTAGTCTTTAGTGCAAGCTTATGAGGTTGGTGGTATTTTCTTTTTTTCTTTTCTTTTTGGGTCACACCTGGCGATGCACAGGGGTTCCTCCTGGCTCATGCACTCAGGAATCACTCCTGGCCGGTGCTCAGGGGACCCTATGGGATGCTCGGAATCCAACCCGGGTCGGCGGCGTGCAAGACAAACGCCCTACCCGCTGTGCTATCACTCCAGCCCCAGCTGTCACTCTTCTGATCCGCTATGATGCATCATGTACTGTTCTTGGTGTATTATTTCACTTAGTCTTTAGTGCAAGCTTATGAGGTCGGTGTTATTATTTCCTCTATTTTTCCAGGTTAGAGGATGGCTTAACTAAGGTATCGTTCTTGCCTGCTGATGCGGGGAATCAACTCTTAACCAACCAACAGCTTTAAGTGCCAAGTCAGTCCGTTAACACTTGGGACCCACGGGGATGAGCCGCCAGGAGTTCTCCGCTCACTCCCAAACCGTGACGTCAAGACCCAGCCAAGAGCCCTAGGCTCGGCTCTGCCGAGATCTCGCGAGAGTTCCCGGTGCTTCTTTCTTAACCTCGTTGGGACTCGCACGCGGCGGCGGCGGCGCTTGAGCGCCCGAGCCCGACGAGGGGGAGTCGAAGGGTTTTCTGGCCGCCTCCGTGGGCTCCAACTCCTTCCAGGGCGCCGCGGGCCTCGAGTTCTCGCGATACTTGGCGACTCGGCGCCCGCCCACCCCGCTCTGCGCCTGCGCGGATCGCCGCCGAGGCGAGAAGGTCGCGTCGGGAGGAAGTGTCGGCTTGTGGCCCGGCGGCCGCCGCTCGCTCGCCCGCTCGCTCGCTCCCTCGCTCCCGCTTCGAAGCTCCGCTCGGCCCCGCGCCGGGACGCCCCGCCGCCAAGATGCCGCGCATCATGATCAAGGGGGGCGTGTGGAGGAACACGGAGGTAAGTCTCGGCTTTTTCCCGCCGCCGGCTGCCCTTCGCCCCCTTTCGCCGTGGGGTCCGTGTGCGCACGCGCGCGGCCTCCGGGGCGCCGAGGAGGGTGCCCGGGGGGAGGTGGGGTGGGGGGTGGGCTCTGTTGGGTGCCGCCCCCCGGGCCCCCGCCCCCGAGCCCCACACCTCGAGAAGGGGCTGGGCACAACTCCGGCTCCCTACCCGGGATTTCCTGACGGGGTGTGGGGGGCGGCTGGGACCCCCTGGTCGTCCGCCTCCTCCTCCGCCTCGACGGAACCCCGGGGGGGGGGGGGCTGGCGGCTGCCTCGTCTGTCCGCCTGTCAGACAGGGACAAACTCCCTCCAGTCGCCTTTATTTTATTTATTTATTAATTATTATTATTATTCCTCCAGTCGCCTTTATTTAATTTATTATTAATATTATTTATTTATTTTTTGCTTCCAGAAATGGAGCGGGTAATGCCCCGCAAGAGCTGGGTGGGGAGGGGGGCGGAATGAAAAGGTCTCAGTCGTTTTGTCTTCAGGGTGCCCCGAATTTGCAATTTTTTTGCTCCCCCCCGCCCCCCCCCCCCCCCCCCCCCCCCCCCCGCTGCCCCGGCCAAGGCACGTTGTATCTTTCTTCGTGCCTTGGGCCTCTTTGTACATCGTCGCCTGCTTTCTTGCAGCCCAGATCCTTCTCTGCCCCGGCGTCCGGCAGAATCCTTCTTGGGAAGCCCGTGGGGGTGGGGGACTTTGTGCTTATTTGCACACCCCTTTCCCCCACCCACCCAGTTGGCAGGTCTTTCATTCGCTCGTTGGCGTTTGTGCTTTCGCGGCATCACAGTGACAGTCTTTTTTTTTTTTTTTTTTCCTTTTTGGGTCACACCCTGCGATGCCCAGGGGTCACTCCTGGCTCATGCACTCAGGAATGACTCCTGGCCGTGCTTGGCGGGGACCATGTGGGATGCTGGAAGTCGAACCCGGGTCGGCCGTGGGCAAGGCAAACGCCCTCCTTGTCCTGGCGAGGATGAGGATGAGGATGAAGATGACGGGTTTTTGGGTCACACCGGTGATGATGATGATGATGATGATGATGATGGCCTTTTTGGTCACAACGGTGATGCTCAGGGGTTCCTCCAGGCTCTGCACTCAAGAATCACTCCTGGCGGTGCTTGGGGGACCATATGGGATGCTGGAAATTGAACCTGGGTTGGCCACATGCAAGGCAAATGCCCTACCCACTGTGCTATCGCTCCAGCCCCTGGAGGTTATTTCTTTTTTTTTTCTTTTTTCTTTTTTTTGCTTTTTGGGTCGCACCCAGCGATGCTCAGGGGTTACTCCTGGCTCATGCACTCAGGAATGACTCCTGGCCGTGCTCAGGGGGACCATAAGGGATGCTGGGAATCGAACCCAGGTCTGCCGCGTGCAGGGCAAGCGCCTTCCCTGCTGTGCTATGGCTCTAGCCCTCACAGTGACAGCTTTGAGTCCTAGCCTTGACCCAGGGGGCTGAGCAGTTTAAACGGGAAAGGACCTGAATTCCGGGACAGGGAGTGATGGACAAAACCGAGGCGCTGCTGGATGGAGCCCTACGCAGGGGCCGACGTCCAGGGTTCTTCTCGAGTCTGCTGATGGGTCGGAGAGGTAGGGCTCGGGGACTCCAGGATGAAGCTGGGAGCGCAAGGCCTCGGTGGAAAAGAGCCAAAAAGTAAGATGCCCCACGTGCATTCACCTGGGAAGTTTATCCCTGGTGTCTGCCTGTGGTTGAGCTGGCTTACTTGCAGAATTCCTCTGCACGGGTGTCCCGGGAAGTGGGAACTTCAGGCTGGGAAAGGCCAGAGGGAGAGCCGACTGGGGAGGTCTGGGAAAAGGGGTTTTCAAGAATCCCAGGTGGTGAATTTGTGTTGTCACTACGAAAAATGCTGTTAGTAAGTTTTAGGGAACAAACCAAGATTCAAGAGTGACTTCACCAGTCTTGCTTTTCAAGGACTGGATGTGTCTTAATTCTTTTCTTTCCTTAAGTGCATGACACCTCATGGAAGGTAGTTGCTGAGGAAGTCTATTTGAGGGCCACACTTGGCCATTATTGGGGTTCCTCCTGGGTCTGCACTCAGGAATCACACCCGAGGTGTTCAGGGGTCCAGGTGGGAATGTCTGAGATCGAACCCAGGTTGTATGCATACAGGGCAAGCACCTTCCCTGTGTTACCTCTCCGATCCCAAGGAGGGAATTTGTTTTGAATGAATAGGCTATATCCTTTTGGAGACCGTGACATACATTGGAGAATACTTTTGTTTATTAAGAGTTTTTGTGGTTGGACTGTAGAGTGACTATTTTGTGTGGGTGTGTATGTATGTAAGAGAAGGTAGGTACTTTTTTTTTTCTTTTTTTTCTTTTTGGTTACACCTGGCGATGCACAGGGGTTACTCCTGGCTTTCCACTCAGGAATTACTCCTGGCAGTGCTCAGGGAATATGAGGTGCTGGGAATCGAACCCGGGCTGGCCACGTGTAAGGCAAACACCCTATCCGCTGTACTATAGTTCCAGCCCTGGTACTTTTTCTAAGGGATTTTTTTTTCCTGCTTAATTCCGTTTTGCTGATGCTAACTTGTTATAGTAAATAAGACTTAATTTTTCTTTTTTAAAAATTTTTATTAGTGAAACACCATGAGGTACAGTTGTAGACTTACAAATTTTGTGCTTGGATTTCAATCATACAATGATCAAATACCCATCCCTCCACCAGTGCCCATTTTCCACCACCATGGATCCCAGTATCCCCCCCCCCCCCCCCCCCCCCCGCCTCTGTGGCAGGGCATTCCCCCTTGTTCTCTCTCTCCTTTTGGGTGTTGCAGTCTGCAGAAGAGGCATTGAGTGGCAATCATGTTCAGTCCACAGTCTTCTTTCAACATGCATTTCCCCTCCTGGGAGGATCCTCCAAACACCCTTTATTTGGTGCTCCCTTCTCTATCTGAGCTGCCCTTTCCCCTAGAATGCCCGGCTGGCCTCTAAGCCATGGAGTAATCCTCCTGGTACTGATCTTGGCAATTCTTGGGTATTAATCTCCTATTTTGTTACTTTATGATAAGACTGAATTTTTCAATATTTATTTTAAGATTTTATTTGAGGCCTGGTTATTTACAATACTTTTCATGACAGGGTTTTGTGCATGTGTTTGAGCCCCACAGCCTCCCACTAGAGTGTCCACTATTTACTTCAACAGTTGTTTCAGTGTCCTTGCCCTTCTCATTCCCCCACTCCTGCTGTCCACCCTTGAAAAGCTCAGTTTTAATTTAAAAAAAATCTTGGATATTTGTCTTTCCTCACTTGGAGTCTTGTGATTGAGTAAACTTTGTCTTTTATAATTATTTAAGGATGAAATTCTCAAAGCAGCGGTAATGAAATATGGCAAGAACCAGTGGTCTCGGATTGCCTCATTGCTGCATAGAAAATCAGCAAAGCAGTGCAAAGCCAGATGGTATGTACCAGTTAATGAGTGGGAAAGCAGAGTATGACTGTAACTCTGAGGAAAAATGTCAGTTTTTTGAAACTCATAAAAAAAAACAAAGCATTGTGTTGGAGTGGAGATGTGAATTTAGTTTTTGTCTTAACTGTCATTTGCTTCCTGTTTGATGGCAGACAAACCATTTTCTCTTCTCACTTTTTACTACTCCCGATTTTTCCAACTGGAGATAATGCTTTGTTTTAACTGTAAGAGATTTCAGACTCACGAGTTAATGTATTTTGAGTGCTTTAGGGAGAGGGGGCTATGAATTTATGTGTTCCAAATGTTTGTTATTTTAGAATCTAAGTTTCTCAAAGAAATAAATGTTAATGGTTAAAATTGTAGGCTAGCTCACTATAGTTGATTCTCTTCATAGCACAACTGGAATATTATGTATTTGCTACCCCAAATACACTCCAAATACCATACCTGTGGTTTTCTTTCTTAAATCACAGAATAATGGACATAGCCGGTTCTTGGCAACAGTAATCTGATCTCAGTCCTGACCCATGTCATAGTAGGAACATTATTTTGGATTGTATGAGTGAGGAAAAGGATCAGAATAGAGAGAATGGATCCCCACAAAGAAGATGGTCTTTAACTTGAAGAAGTGGTTCTGGTTTTTTTTTTTGTGCATCTTAAGGGAGCTAAATTCCTGCTTTAGTGTTTAATAGGACTAAAATCTCATTTGCCAAGCTCTTATCCAGCCAAATAGATTGGATGGGAAAGGTGGATTGAGTAGGGCATTGGTTATTTTACTTAAAGAGATACCAGACAAAAATCAGTGATGAGTTGAGTGATAGTCAAATGCTTGAAGTGAGTCAAATGTGAAAAGCAAGAGTATTAGGAAGTGCTGTGAAAATTAACAAAAACATGGTCATTGTCTTATTTCCAAATAAAGTATGAAGTAAATGAAAACGACTGAGTTTAAATCAGGTTTCCTTTTTAACCTTCTATAATTAAAAATACCGTAGGATTTGGTGAGATGAGAACTCTTGAGAGGGCTTAAATATGCCCATATTTTGTTGTGAAAAAAAGAGCAACTTTCATAATTTTTTTTTTATTAGTGAAACACCATGAGGTACAGTTGTAGATTTACAATTTTTTTGTGCTTGGGTTTCGATTATACAATGATCAGATACCCATCCCTCCACCAGTGCCCATTTTCCACCACCATGTATAATATCCCCCCCACCCCCATCCCCCCATCCCCCCCTGCCTCTGTGGCAGGGCAATCCCCTGTGTTCTCTCTCTCCTTTTGGGTGTTGTGGTCTGCAAAAGAGGCATTGAGTGGCAAACATGAGCGACTTTCATAATTGAAGGATGAAATTGAGCTCAGTTTTCAGGTACTACAAGTCAGTGTATGTAATGTGTAAATAGGATATTCTTTGTAAGTGACTGATGAATGTACAAAATAATGTTTCAATAGGTACGAGTGGCTGGATCCTAGCATTAAAAAAACAGAATGGTCCAGAGAAGAGGAGGAAAAGCTCTTACACTTGGCCAAGTTGATGCCAACTCAGTGGAGGACCATTGCTCCAATCATCGGAAGAACAGCTGCTCAGTGCTTGGAACACTATGAATTTCTTCTGTAAGTGAATATCCAGAAGCAGTATAAAAATATCTTTGTATCTTCTGAATGAGGCTAAGTGAACCTGTACTATGTTTTTCCTGGGGGGGGGGCGGGGGGAGTTGCTCAGGGGTTACTCTGTAACTCAGGGCTTTCTCCTGGCGGTACTCTAGGGACTATATGAGATGCTGCTGATCAAGCCATGATGGGCAGTATGCAAGGCACAAGCCCTACCCGCTCCTGCTCCTACTTTTTATTTTTGAAAAATGAAGTGCCAGTTCCAAAACGTGGGTTTTTTTTTCTTTAAAATTTTTTTTTTAAAACGTTTTTTAAACATAGTATTTTTTTTTGACTAGTGGTATGATAATGTGACTCACTCCTAAGCTCTGTTCTAGGGATAAGGCTGCCCAGAGAGACAATGAAGAGGAAACAACAGATGATCCAAGAAAACTTAAACCTGGAGAAATAGATCCAAATCCAGAAACAAAACCAGCACGGCCTGATCCAATTGACATGGACGAGGGTAAGTGTATGCTTGTGAGGGATTTTTGGTTTTTTACTTTGGTAATTGTAAATTCAGATCTCTTAATTCCTTCCCAGATTTTGTGGCTTTTAAAAATCCCAATTTATTTAGTTGCAATGTGTTGGTCTAGGCTTTTGAAAAAGAACGTGTCTAGGGTGCCGGAGAGACAGTAACAGCGGGCAGAATGTGTTCCTTGCATGTAGCTGACCCGGGTTCTGTAAACTGGTCCCCTACGCCCTGCCAGGCAGGATTAGGCCCTGAGCACCACTAGGGATTTGTGCGCGCCTTCCTCCTCCCGTAAAAACAATTAAAAATGTGTCTACTATTTTATTATAGAGTAGTTAACACTTTTTTGGGACTGACTCTTGGTAGTTTTTGGTTTGTCTTTGGGGCATGCCCTGTGATATGATGGGTTGGGAGGAGTGGAAGTGTAGGATGGCTGCTTTTGACTGTGCTCAGAGTCACTTTCTGTGGTTCTCAGGGGACCAAGTGGCATTGGGGATTGAACTCAGACCATTGAACTATCACTCTAGCTCCAGATTTTTTTTTTTTTAGACCCAGATTTTTAAAATTAAACATTAGAATGCCACTGGACAGATTTCTTAAGAGTCTGGCAGTTAGCTCTTGAGGATTATGCACTCTCATTTATATTCTGACAGGCAGCTGGTCAGGATTTTGGGCAGGAGCTTCCTTGATAACTTGAGACTTCAGGTAATTTAATTTGTACCTGACTGCAAGACTTATGGAAACTTCCAATAACTTCTTAAGATATTGAGTCAGGAATCAGAGGAACTGATACTTAGACATGTTAGGTATTTATTAGCTATTTGATCTTTGGTAAGTCATATAATCTTGCTCAATTTTGATTCTCCTGTCAGATGGAGACTAATATCTAATAGGGTTGTTTTGAAGTGATAGCACAGCGGGTAGGGCGTTTGCCTTGCATGCAGCCGACCCAGCTGAGCCAGGTTCAATTCCTCTGCCCCTCTCAGATTGCCCAGCAAGCTACCAAGAGTATCGCACCACACGGCAAAGCCTGGCAAGCTACCCGTGATTATTCAATATGCCAAACACAGTAACAACAAGTCTCACAATGGAGTCGTTACTGGGCCCCCTCGAGCAAATCGATGAACAACGGGAGGACAGTGCTACAGTGCTACAGGGTTGTTTTGGAATATTCACTGGGTTATTTTTTTCATTAAAAAAATTTAATTATGTTTTGGGTTTTGAGCCACACTGACTGTGCCCAAACCAGTTTACTCCTGGTTCTCTGCTTATAGGGATCACTCCTGGCAGTGCTCAGGGACCTTGTGGGGTGCAGGAGATTGAATCCTGGTTGGCCTTGTGCAAGGCGAACATTTTACCACTATTACCTCTCTGGCCCTAACATTTTTATTTTTACTTTTTATTTTGTTTTTTGCGTCACACCCAGCGTTGCTCAGAGCTAGTAAATACCTAACTTTGCACCCAGGGATCACTCCTGGTGGTGCGTGGGAAACCATATGGAATGCCAGGATTGAACCCAGGTTGGCTGCATGCAAGGCAAATGCCTTACCTACTGTACTAGTGCCTTGGTCCTTTAAAATTTTTAGTTAAACAAGATAGTTTTTATTAAAAAATACGAACTTGGGGCTGGAGCGATAGTACAGTGGGTAGGGCGTTTGCCTTGCATGTGGCTGATTTGGGTTCAATTCCCAGCATCCCATATGGTCCCCCGAGTGCTGCCAGCAGTAATTCCTGAATGCAAAGCCAGGAGGTAACCCTTGTGCATTGCCGGGTATGACATAAACAAAACAAAACAAAAGAGAAAATGTACTTAGACATAGGGGATCAAAAAGGGGAAAATTTTAAATTTAGTTTTATAAAGTTGTTCATGATTTATTACATTCAGTATTCCAACACTAATCCCACCGCCATTACCCACTGCCATTATTTCGGATTACCCCAACCACCCTGAAAGAGGAAAATTTACTTAAGTCCTGGGGGAAGAGAACATGGGCTTCTCCAGAGCAAAAGAAGCAAGTAAGCAGATACATGTTCAAGGGAGAACACAGGTTTGAAAGAGCAAGTATATTGACTTTTTAAAAATATGTAAGTTAGCAGGTGTTTCCGAAAGATAGATTATGATGGGTAGGCTTGCATCTTTGTCACATATGAATTTATAAAAAACAGATTGAGGGCCTTTCCATGAGATACTGGGTCAGTAATTGGGAGTGGGTGGGAGTGGAGGTAAATCTGGGATCAGATTTTATGTAACTTTTATTCTCAAGTAAAAGTGCTTGGGAAACCAAGTGTTGCCAAAGATCCAGCCTGGCTTCCCACATTTAGAGCATGTGCTTAGCCCTGATTTAAGCATGTTCTCAGCCAATTGAATTAGATCTCTGGCTTTGCAATCAGGTTGTTTTTAATTTTCCCAGTGAGGCAGAATAGTTTTATTTAAAGAAATTTACTTAGAGAAATGTGAGGGGAAGGAGAGAGATACGTGTTTCATGAGAGAATGTGGGCTTCTCTAGAGTAGAAAAAGCCCCTGCAGTCAGTTTTACTTGTGAGGCTCAGGATATGTCTCCGTGGAAGAGCACATGCCTTGTGTGTGTGAGGCAGTGCCCTGGGTTTGGTTCCATCTCTAAAAAAAAAACAACAAAATCCCTTGACATTCCATTGGGTCAGCCTTGTATAGGAATAGGTCTGGCATTAGTATTTCTCTTTCTACTCTGGAGAGCCTTGAAAATGTATGGCGAGATAAATCATTTTATAGAAAAAGTATATCTAGGGAAGATTATTCATTTTCTATAAAAGGTTTAAGTAATACTTCATAATGAGTCATGTACCTGTTAGTTGATGTAATGAAGAATATAATTATAATCACTTTTTTTTTGTTGTTGGCCACAACTGGCTCTATGCTTAGGGATCACTCCTGGCAGTGGTTGGGGGATTATATGGTACAGGGTATTCCTACCAGGGTCAGTCACATGCAAGGCAGGTGCCCTGCCCATGGTATGATTTCTTTGGCTACATAACCATTGTTCATTTTATTTTTGGGGGTGCCTTGGGTTTGGGTCAGGGCATACTCCTGACTACACTCAGGAATTATTCCTGGCAGTGCTCCAGGGGACCTAACAGGGATTTATGCCAGGGATGACCTCAGGTCCCATTGCATGTAAGGCGAGTGCCCTGCCCACTGTATTATTGCTCTGGCCTGAAATAGCTATCTTTTTGTTTATTTTTGGACGATATCTAGCAGTGCCTAGAGCTTACTGTTGACCCCGTACTCTTGAATCAGTCTTGGTGGGCTCAGTAGAGCATGTAGGGTGCCAGAGATCAAACCTTGGTCAGCTGCATACAGTCCAGATGCCCTGTCTGCTATAGTCTCGCTCTGGCCATATAATCACTGTTTCAACACTAACTAGTCTTTGCTTATTTAATTTCACTAACATCTTGTCAACATTCCTGTGAAACAGGAATTGTTTTTCCCATTTTTGTTAATGATGAAACGTGTTGTGGAGGTTAAGTGAGCTATGTCGCTTTATATAGCTAGCAAATGCTGAATTTTGGCCTTTGGGCAGGGGGCTTAAACCTAACCTGTTTTTGTCATGTTAAACTATAGTTATACTTGCATTTTTTTCTTTCTTTTTTTAAGGTTTATGTTCATTAAAACACTGTGATATTCCTGATTTAGTTATTTCAGGCATACAGTATCCCCATACCAATCCCACCCACCACCAGTGTGCCCTTTCCTCCACCAGTGGTCCTAGTTTCTCTTCTACCCCATACTTATGTTTTTTCTTTAAACATTTTTTTTTAATTGAATCACTGTGAAATGCATAGTTACAAAGTTGTTCATGATTGGGTTTTAGTCATACAGTTTTCCAACACGCTTCCCTTCACTTAAGGTTTTTCTTAAGCACCAATTTCTGTTTAATACCTTGCTGTTATTGTAACACAACTTATCTTTTTCTTATATCTGCTTTTGTAGATGAACTTGAGATGCTTTCTGAAGCTAGAGCCCGCCTGGCTAATACTCAGGGAAAGAAGGCCAAGAGGAAAGCAAGAGAGAAACAGTTGGAAGAAGCCAGGTATGGTTTTACCATCCATAATTGAACAGTAAATCTGCCACTATACCCAATAAAAATGGCATGGTTTATCACCCTTGTTGGGAGAATAATAGAGCTTTACAATTTCAGTTCTGTTTTTTTGTCTGGTGTGGGTATTGGGCCACGCTCAGTGGTGCTCAGGGGGTTGTTGATGGTGAGGTTTGGGGGACTGTGCTGTACTGGGGATTGAACCTGTATCTCCTGTATGCAAAGCCTGTGCTCCAGACTGTGCTCGACTATTTTAGCTTTGTGGGCCTCCAAATCCAATTTTGATAATATTCTTTTTTTTTTCCCCCAAATTTTGGAAAAGTCAAATTGTTTTCTCCCTGAACCATTTCAGAATATTTGAATGAATAGAGAATAAGAAGAAACAATTGTCTCTTAAGAAATTTTTTTTGGGGGGGCTGGAGAGATAGCACAGCGGGTAGGGCGTTTGCCTTGTACGCGGCCGACCTGGGTTCGATTCCCAGCATCCCATATGGTCCCCCGGGCACTGCCAGGAGTAACTCCTGAGTGCAGAACCAGGAGTAACCCCTGTGCATCGCCAGGTGTGACCCAAAAAGCAATAAATAAATAAATAAATAAAATAACATTTTTTAATTGGATATTTGTGAGCTAGACCATTACAAAGCTGTTTATAATTGGGTTTCAGTCACACAATGATCCAGCACCTATCCCTCCACCAGGGCGCATTTCCCACCACCAATCTCCCTGTTTCCCCACCACCACCCCCCCGACCCTTCAGCCCCTACCCCCAGCCTCCCTCTATGGGAGGCACTTTCCTTCTTGCACTCTCTCTCCTTTTCCCTTTGTGCATTATGATTTGCAATACAGGGGTCACAGTGTTTGTTCAGGGCATTTGTTATTTTTATCTTGATAGTAAGGCTGGAGTAGCTTTTCAATTGGCTGGAAGCTTTGGGGTGTGGATGTGACTGCCGAGGCTTCTGGAAGTACAGGGAGGTGGGGGGAGGTAGCTCATCCTGACCCTGAGAAATCCTGGAGATTTTCAGTCATGAAATCCGCATACCAAAATTTTTAACGGATTATATCTTGGTGAGGTTCGTCCTGAGATGGTGGAATCAGGCTAGGGGTATGGTGGCGAATTTGAATTGTGGAAGCAAGCCAGGGACTCTGTTTGGGAAGGTCCCAGGCCAACCCGCCCCCCTCCCTCAGATTTACCATGGTATGTTCAGCCATGTGCAGGTCTGAGCTTAACTGCAGTTTTTGATCTCTTTCAAGATTTATTTACGGATCTCTGAAGCAAGGCCGGTAGTAGAGCTTACATGGTGGTGCTGGAGTTGGTTCGTGGGGGTGACTGCCAGTGCTTCCATGAGTATTGGGAAGTGGGAGGAGGTAGTTCATCCCAACTCTGGGAAAGCCTGGAGATTTCAGTCACAAAACCCGCATACCAGAATTTTCAACAGGTTATATCTTGGTGAGGTGTCTCCTGAGATGGTGGATTCAGGCTGGGGGTATGGTGGCGATTTTGGATTGTGGAAGCAAGCGGCTGCTGGGGGCTCTGCTTGGGTGGGCCACCAGGACAATCCGCCCCTTCCGACTTACCCCAGTCTGTTCAGCCATGCTTGGGTCTGAGATTAATTGTGACTTTTGATCTCTTTTGAGATTTATCTATGGATCTCTGAAATAAGACCAATAAATGAGCTTGTATAAGCTGAGCCGGAGGTGGTTTGTGGGCATGGCTCCCACATTCCAAACTTTTGCCTGTTTAATTTCTTGGTAAACTTGGTCTGAAGATGTTGGGGTCTGGCCAAAGGCACAGCAGCAATTTTGGGGTGTCAGGAAGCCTCCAGTCTTGGTTGCTCGTGTGGAGGAGTACCACTCCTGATTTTATAGGAAGTCCAACAGTGTGGGCTTGAACTATGCTACCAGAGCCACCCCAGTGGTGCATGGGGCCCATCAGGGCAGTAGCTGGTGTGTTGGGATGCCATGCAGTGCCAGGGATTGGATCAACCTTTCATGTGAATTTTTGGGAGGGTTGTTCAGTTTCCTGAACGTGTAGGTTATTGGTTTTCAGTGAATATGGCAAATATTCAGCTATTACTACTTTAAATATTTTGTTCTCTTTTTTTTCGGCTCCTTTGGCATTCTGTTGTATATATTGGTGAAACAATATCTTACATTTTCCTATTTTTCATTTAACATTTTCAGGTTTCATTCTTTTTTTCCTGTTGAGATTATATAATCTTTACTGATTTGTCTTCAGGTTCACTGATTTTTCTGTTTGAATCTTCTCTTGGACCTCTCTAGCAAAGTTTTCATTTTAGCTTTATATTTGTCAGTTTCAGAATTTTCATCTTAAAAAACTTTTTTGTTGATATACTATTTGATGTAGAAATATCATTGCTTTTTTAATAATCCTTCTTTAATCATTGTTTTTGTTAGTTGCAGAATTGAACCCAGGGTTCACACATGCAGGACCAGGAGCTATACTGATGAGCTGCTCTCAGTTCCCCTCTTTTCTTCTTTGTCATTTGTCAGATTTGATTACTGTGGAAGGCAGTTGCTTATCTTTTTTTCCTGATTTTATACTTTCTTTGTATGGCTAATAACTTTTTTTTATTAGAAGTTGAACTCTTCATTATTTATTGTTGCAGTTCTGGATTGAATGTTCTTCACAATCCCTTCCTGTTACTGCTTTGTTTACATGTTAGTGACTGGCTGGATTATTTTAGTGAAATCTGTTCCCTTTTTCCCCAGAAATATGAAACCTCTGATGTTGCAGTTCATGGGGTATAGTTCCGGGTATACCCACAGATGTCATTCTGGGATGGTGTGATTTTTGTGGGACTTGTCATTTTTTCCTGGCTTTACCCTGCTGTTAAATCTACCAGTCAGTTGATTGTTCTATTCCCCTTTATCAGTAACTTGGTGCTTATCCTCTTTGAATTTAGATGGAAAGTTTCCAAGGTATGATATTTGATATGACCTCATGAGGATAGGTTTCTTGGGAGGCCACCTATCACTTCATTTCTGACAAACTAGTGGGCCTACAGTTTAGTCTAAATATTCAGCGAATCTGTCAGCTTACCATAGCTTTAGTTGTTTTTGGCTTGATCATCTCTTGTAATCTATTCCAAATGCGGTCAGTTTGTTTGGGGAGAGATTTGAAGTTCTCTGTCCAGGGCTTTGTATTGTTTTGGGGCTATGCACAGTGGTTCTTGGGGCTGTTCCGAGTGGTGCTCAGAAAACCATACAATGCTTGGGTATCAGGTCTGGACCTCTTGTGCAGTTAGTCCCTAAAACTCAGTTTATCTCTGGCTCCATGAGCTTAAATTTTTCTACTCTTAATCCCTTTTCACCTGAGAGATTTTTATGTGACCCCAGATATATAAAATAGGTATAGGAATAAAGATGATTTTTTTGTTTTGTTTTTGGGCTACGCTAGTGATACTCAGGGCTCAGGGTCTCTTCTGACTCTGCACTCAGGGATCATTCCTGGCTAGGTTTGGGGCTTCAGACCTGGGTTGGCAGCATTCTCCAGCTCCCAAATAAAGTTCGATAGTATTTTTTTTTCTATTTTTCGTTGGGTTTTGTTTTTGTTAGTGGTACTCAGGGCTTATACCTGGCTTTGCTTTCACAGATCACTTTTGGTGGGATTTGGGGAGCTGGGGATTTAACCTGATTTGGCCATGTGCAAGGCAGGCACCCTCAATGCACCCTCAATAGTAATCAGTGATTTTTTTTTTTGTTTCACTCTTTTAAAAAAAAATTATTTATTGAATTACCGTGAGAACAGCCACAAAGCCTTTCAGTTTAAGTCTTGATTGGTCATACAATGATCACCCACGCATCCCTTCACCAGTGCACATTTTCCACCACCAAGAACCCTTCCCACCCCTCCCCCTGCCCGTGTGGCAGATTTCCACTTTACTCTCTCTATGTTGATCACATTCAATATTACGACAAAAGACCCACCATTATTATTTGCAATTTTCCCCAACAATCAAACCTGCCAAAAAGACATCATTATATAATTTTGTTTCCTGTTGCTGATTATGAAGAGCATATGATTTTGGATTTCTGATATTTTAGTAATAAGTCTGGAGGGACTACTGCCAAAACCACTGGGTTCTGAGATTGTTTTGTGTACCTCTGAGATCATGGTCGTTCAGGAGCTGGAGGAGACGTTCGTGGGTGGCAACTCGGGGCCTTGTCAGGGTGGGGAGCAGGGCCGGTTCCACCCCCCATCCCATGAGGCCCTGCATGCCTCGTCACTGCAGTCTCATACCTGGCTGTCCATTAGGCTCTGAAAGATGGTGGCTACCATGCCGCTGCTGCCAGGGGGAAAAGGTGGAGGAACAAACACCCTTCCCCTCCTGGGGTGGCATGGTGCCATAGTTTAATGCACAGTCCAGATGCATTTTTTGTTTGTTTGTTTTTTGGGTCACACCCAGCGATGCACAGGGGTTACTCCTGGCTCTGCGCTCAGGAATCACCCCTGGCGGTGCTCAGGCGACCATATGGGATGCTGGGAATCGAACCTGGGTTGGCCGCATGTGAGGCAAACGCCCTACCCGCTGTGCTATTGCTCCAGCCCCAAGACGCATTTCTGCCAAAAGCTGGAGGTGTCCGAGATCCCTGTCCCCTGAGGTCCCGGGTGCCTCGTCATTGCAGTCTTATACCTGGCTGTTCATTAGGCTCTGAAAGATGGCAGCCACCATACCGCTGCCGCCAGGGGGGAAAGGCGGAGGGACAAACACCCTTTCCCTCCCGGGGGCGGCATGGCGCCGTAGTGTAATGCGCAGTCCAGATGCATTTCTGTTGGGCATTGTATTTTGCTCGAATTTTCCCACCACCTGCCTTCCAGGGACAGACGCTAGATCATTTACTTTCCATTGCTCACTTTACGTATCAGGAAAGGTCGCATGGCCTTGTAAATGGCCGTGCGGTCCAGAAGAATAGTCCTGGTGCCCACATACCGGAGCCATGCTTGTAGAAGCTCATGGTTGCCAGGATTCCATCTGGAGAAGGCGGGGAGACTGCACCTGCCCCATCTGGGACCTCCCAGCGATATTGGCTTGGTATGGGGCCTAGAGAATTTTCCGGGTGTTGTGTTGCCTGCCAGCCAGGTTTCTTCACTGCTGAGTGTGGCAAGATGGCACTAGGGGTGGTTTGAGGGCATGACTTCTGGGATCAGGGGCTGACTGGGTGGAACTGCCCGGCCTGCGCCCCCATGTGATACTCTTTTCTTTTCTTTCTTTTTTTTCAAGTGTTTTATTGAGTATCTGTGAGATGACAAAGATGTTCATGATTTGGTTTCAGTCATACAATGATCCAACACCCATCCCTCCACCAGTGTACATTTCCCACAACCAGTGTCCACCGTTTTCATCCCACCATTCCCCCAACACCCTCCCATCCCCGCCTGCATCTGTGGCAGGCACTTTTCTTCTTTCTCTCTTTTTGTGCATTATGATTTGCAATACAGATACTAAGAGATACTAAGAGGTCGTTGTATTTGTTCAGGGAGTTCAGTATTTTTATCAGGAAGATAAGTCTGGAGTATCTTTTTTTAACTGGGTGGCAGCTTTGGGTATGGATGTGACTGCTGATGCTTCCAGAAGTGCGTGGAGGTGGGATGAGGTAGCCCATCCTGACACTGAGAAAGCCTGGAGATTTCAGTCACAAAACTTGTATACGCAAGTTTTCAGCAGATTTTACTCTGGTGAGTTCTGCCCAAGACGGTGAAGTCTGGCTGGGGGCATGGTGACAGTTTTGGATTGTGGAAGCAAGTGACTGCCGGGAGCTCTGCTTGGGCAGGCCCCCCTCCACACTGTTTAATTTCTTGGAAAACTTTATCCCGAGTTGTTGGGGTATGGCACAGTCAGTGGCAATTTGGGGTATCAAGAAGCCCAAAGACACCATCAGGCTGCCCCGATGCATTTGCCACTTGGGTACAGGTTGACCTTGGCTCTGAGTACAGTACCAAATGTGGCCCCCAGTCCCTCTTCCGTTCCCCCACCCCCAATATGGTGCTTATATGTCTTTTTGTTTTGTTTTGTTTTCATTTTTTTGGGACCACGTTTTAGATCTGTGTATGTGTATGTGTACATGCATGTATGCACAGGCGGACTGATAATCAAACCCCAGTCCTGCCCATAAAACATGCTCTGCCAAGTGACAATGCCTAGCCACTGTATTTTTTTTTTTTTAAATGTGGGGTATTATCTGTTGGTATTCTGGAGCTGTTTGGAGATGCAGATTGATACAGCATGCCCATCATGCTATAGTCCTTTGTTTCATTTCCAGGACCCCATTAAATACGCCTTTAATTTAAAAGCTGGAGTCTACTTTGTGAAGTGGTTTGAAGTGATGGTTTGAATAAGTAGTTCTTCCTCATGTAATGTTCCTTTCTTATCTCTTGGCTAAAGATCCCTTCCCCATGGTACATGATTTTCTAGGTAATCTTGTGTTCTTTTTCTTTAGGCGTCTTGCTGCTCTCCAAAAGAGGCGAGAACTTCGAGCAGCTGGCATAGAAATTCAGAAGAAAAGAAAAAAGAAGAGAGGCGTTGATTATAATGCTGAGATTCCATTTGAAAAAAAGCCTGCTCTTGGTTTCTATGATACTTCTGAGGAAAACTACCAGGCTCTTGATGCAGATTTCAGAAAATTAAGACAGCAGGATCTTGATGGGGAACTAAGATCGTAAGTTGCTTTTCTGATTTTGAAGACAGAAATGTGTAGAGGGGATTTTATGAAGAGCTAGTTGTTACCCATGTCACAGATACTTATTTAGCACAATGAATGTAGCTTGCATAATTTTATTTAATTGGTTTACCTTTTTGGGGACACCACTGGCCCTGTCTCTTGGATTTTAAGCACAGAATAATGCTGGTCGCATTGCATCAGTAACATTTGAATTGTTTACACTTGACTCTTCGTGACCTGTTTACTTTCTGAATCACAGCCAGGACATTTATGACCATAGTGTTCAACTGTTCATGGTTAGTAGTTTTAGTAGTGTCCTGAATCTGCAAAAAATGTCTCATCATTGTTATATTTTTTTCTATTGGAAATTTAATCTCAGTTTACACAAGATGTAATTTAAAGAGATTATGACTATTTAATGTTATTGCACTTGACAGAATAATAAGTAATATTTCTAAGTGATATATCTTGGGACTTTTGCTTATTTATGGGAATTTTTAGGGTTTCTTCAAATCTTATATCTGATTATGTAGGGACAACCTTTTAGAATTATTAAAAAATTTTATTTTCTGTTTCCTGACCCTCTTTTGTTTTGACATGAATTGCTACTAAGCAACAGATGTCAGCAACTGTAAAACAGGATTTTCTTAGATGTATACCATTGCATATATTTCTTAAATGAGGACTGTATTTTATAGTAAAGCAAATGCTCTACCTGCTGTATTATCGGTCCAGCTTCAATACTTTTAATTTTAGAGCTTATGTCAGTATGAGTAATATTTTATTAATAGCATATGAAGTATTTCTATGTTTTTTAATGTTACTGCCTAGATGTGACTTAAAAATGCTGATTTTTTTTTTATAGTGAAAAAGAAGGAAGAGATAGAAAAAAAGATAAGCAACATTTGAAAAGGAAAAAAGAATCTGATTTACCATCAGCTATTCTTCAAACTAGTGGTGTTTCTGAGTTCACTAAAAAGAGAAGCAAGTTAGTACTTCCTGCCCCTCAGGTAATATAATTAAATTTTTAAATTATCTGTTCAGCCAATGTTTGGTGGCCCTACAAGCCAGGCTTTTGATAACTGCCGACGCCCTCAAGAATTTGAGTGTGGGACTCAGGGATGTGGCTTAGTGATAGGACTTTTCCTTTCCAGTGATGGGGATGCGAATTCCAGCCCCAGCATCTTCGTGCAGGGCAATCCCATAGCACTGCCATGTAGCTGAAGCGTCTGACCCTCAGCAAGCACTGCAGTCAAATCTAGGTGACCTCCAGTGGTTGCAGCAGCAGCAGTTAAGGGAAGGAGTGGTGAAAAAGCTAAAGGACCAGAGGAAAAGTAGCTCACTGGGTTTGAGCACATGCTTTCAGCACAGGAGGCCCAGGGATGATCCGGAGCATTGCTTAGTCCCCCAAACACTGAGCCAGGAGTAGCCCCTGACCACTGCCAGATGTGGCCAAAACAAACAAAAACAAAAACCCAAAAAATGAAAAAGCAAAAAATTGTTTTCCTGAAAAAGTGGTTGTGGGGTTGGTGTTGGACATACGGTACAGGGGTTAGGGTGCATCCCCAGTCCCAGTGCCACATCACTTGGTGTGTCCTAGAATCTCCTGAGCACCACTGGGATGACCTGTGTGGTTCCTGAGCAGAACCACATTCTTGGGCCCTAGCATGAACCATTGACCAGTTGGTTGTGTATCTCTGGGAGTGGTTGCTGAACCTGAGCCCCCGAGCACTGTTTGGGAGCTCCCTCAGGAAAATTCGCAAAAAGCAATAATCACGTCACAGTGTAATAAATGAGCCACAGAAAGTCATGATGATGTGGTATGATAAAAGAGCAATACTCCATGTAAATTATATAGTCTTAAATGCTTTTGTGATTAAATAAATAGCTCTTGGGAGGCAGTGAGGTTAGGACTCAAGGAGACCTTTGGCCTTTTCAGCAGGGTGAAGTGTTGACTTTGTAGACTTTCAAGATGTTTTAAAGTGGATGTTATTTTGTATCATGCTTCTCTTTTTTGAAATAGGTGTGAAACTAATGAGTTGTGAAGGGCGAGACTACCTTATTCAACTAATCTCAGATTGTTCCTTTGGCTTAATTATAGTTGCTCAGATAATGGGGGTTTTGGATAAACTCCTGTTTGGAGTAGTTACATCTCATGTGGGGAGACTAGAAGAGATTTTTTTCCCCAAGTGAGTGGTCTGTTTTTTTATTTGGCTTTTTGGGTCACACCTGGCGATGCTCAGGGGTTACTCCTGCCTTTGCACTCAGGAATTACTCTTGCTGGTGCTTGGGGGACCATATGGGATTCTGGGAATCGAACCTAGGTCAGCTGCGTGCAAGGCAGATTCCCTACCCGCTGTACTATCACTCCAGCCCCTACTGTGATTTTTTAAACTTAGATTTTCTTAATATTCCTTAGGGTACTTTGGTAAAGTTAAGGTAAAATTAAGATAATGCCTTTGATTTTCTTCGGTATTTTTTTACGTAGTTTCTGTGTGGTCTTTTTTTTTTTATTGGAATGCCTCTCCCTCACATCGAAGGTTTTGTGTAAACACTTATGTTCTTAGTTCTTATTTTACTAGGTAAAGGTAAAGGTAAAGGCCCTCCCATTGATCGTCGATTTGCTCGAGCGGGCCCAGTAACGTCTCCATTGGAGACTTTGTTGTTACTGTATCTGGCATATCGAATACTCTCCGTAGCTTGCTGGGCTCTCCGAGAGGGGCGGAGGAATCGAACTCGGGTCGGCCATGTTGGCCGCTTGTAAGGCGAACGCCCTACCGCTGTGCTATTGCATTGAAATATTATTTTACTAATTTATTTTACTAATTGAAAGAAATCATTATGAAAATGTATGATAACTGCAGCTTGGTACTATATCATATAGGGATTTTCTCTGTGTGTCATATAGGGAGGTCTTTAAAACTTGCAAAAATTTTTGGAGCAAGAGAGAATGAACAGTGGCTAAGAATGCTTGCCTTGCATATAGCCAACACTGTTTTGATATCCTATTCTGCATATGGTCCTTTGCATAATGCAGAAATGACTCCTAAGCAGTCAGGAGTAATCACTGATAACTGACTTGTGGCCCTAACCGCCCTCCTCCCCACCCCAAAAAGGTAACAGTAACTAGTGGAAAATTTCAAATTCACAAAAGAGTAGTAATTAAACATTTATGTACTTTATAAAACTTCAGCAGTGAATCTTTCTGAATATGAAATTGCCTCCATTAAAATACTGCTTATTGTGATTTTTTTTAAACTTTCTTTTAGATTTCAGATGCGGAACTCCAGGAAGTTGTAAAAGTAGGTCAAGCAAGTGAAATTGCACGTCAGACTGCTGAGGAATCTGGCATAACGAACTCTGCTTCCAGTACCCTTTTGTCTGAGTACAATGTCACCAACAACAGCATTGCTCTTAGAACACCACGAACTCCAGCTTCCCAGGACAGAATTCTGCAGGTAAGCTGTTCTATTAGAGTACAGCTACAGCTTCAGTTACTGTTTTCCGAATTATTCGGAAGGAGCGCTGGGGAGGTAACAGGCTACAGTGCCTAGCCCGGGTTTAGTCTCTGGTACTGTCATCATGTGGGCCTGTGAGTGCCACTGGGAGTGAGTGTGTGCACCATGCCGGGGCTAGACCCCGAGCAACGTGACCACTAAGTGTGACCCCAGAACAAAGACTAGTTAACCCTCAAACTCATAGAATGGATAAGTGTTACGAAGGAGTAAGTGGCTTTGTTTATTTTAGGGAGAACAGTTAGAGTACAAGGGTCCTAGAGATCACTGTAGTAGGAAAGTCAGCAGACTGAGTAATTAGGTGGTTTATTAAAGTTTTTTTTTTGGAGCCAGCCCTTCTATTTTCATTACTCTTCAGTAGTCATCATTAAAGCCTCACATTGTAAATTTCACCTTGTCTAGTAATCCAAGAAAGAAAGCAGATCTGCCTTGTCAGAATTAAACATTTTTTTCTTGCATTTTTATACCTGTTTTGGCTGCTGTCAGTGCCACCTCGCTCTCTTTAATAGGTGGGAGTATACAGTACTGTTTTTAGGGCTCTGTGTGCCAGAGAATAGCTAAACTTCACAGCATTCTTCAGTATTCTAGAACCCTTACCGCTCCTTTACTGTGCTCAGTCAGAAAGAACATCGAGCCCCTCATTGCTCTAGAGGCACCAAGACATCAGCTACAATTTTTCTCTTTTATTGTCTTAGTATTCAGGCTTATTATATATGTATATATGTATATATTTTTTCATTTTTATGCATTTTTTTTTACCTATAGTTTTTACAGTGGGATCTCTCCCTCTGCCTTTATTATGCTCTTTTTTCTTTTAATCTTGGAATAGTTATATCATAAATTTCTGATTTTATTCCTGGCTTACTTTATGTCTAAGTAAACTTCATTGCTGAGATACAAATCACCATACTGAACAGTACTTTTTCTTCGAGTTAATATTTGTTATATTAATTTGCTTAAATTTCCTGGGGTGTGGGTAAGGTTCTTGACACCAGGCTTTTCTGTATCTTGAGCTGGCTGGATAAAAATTCTTTTTATTGTTTCTGGGCCATACTTGGAGGTGTCTCATTGGTTCTTTCCGGAACCACATGGTGCTAGGGATTGAATCAGAACCTCCTTCATGCAAAGCATGCACTCTGCTCATCGAGCCATTTGGCCATCCTCAATGGGGAATTCTTGATAGCCGTATTTCTAGTTGTTTTTTTTCCTCTTGAATTAACTAGACTCTCCAGAAAAGTAGCTTGCAGTTTCCTGTCTAAAAGCCTCAGGTGATAAATCTTTTTGGGAGCCTAGATGAGGAAGAATGTGTTGTACTTATTAATGTATTAGCAAAAACTGTGCATAATTGGCAGTGAATTACAATTCAGCATTCTTTTCGTGAATAAAGATACGGAATAATGCAATCAGTCTTGCTCTGCTGATCTTCATTTTAACTCCAAACTGTGGCTTAAAACATTTTATTATGCTCATGATTTCTATGGCTTAGGATTTCAGACGGGTCGTAGAAGGAATGCCTATGGCCTCAGGAAGTAACTCGGTGAATCAGGGCTGGAATCATGTCCACTGGCTGTAGGTAGGAGCTTCACCTGGGGATGTGGAGGAAATGAGCTCTGAGACGTGCCTCACAGCTGCAGTGTGAGAGTGTTGGAGTGATAGGGTAGGAAGCCATGTAATGACGTTGCCTTGGAGGCCAGGGTTGTCACCTCTGCTGCATTCTGTTACAGGTGAGTCACAGTCCACCTAGACTCAAGAGAGGGAGCATGGACCCTACCTCGTGCTAGAAGGATTATTAAGGTTGGATTCTAAGATGAGCATGGGAAATGAAAGATACGGCTGTGACTATCTCTGGAAAATAAGCCTTTCAGAGGCCCTGAATTGGGGGATTAAAAATAGGATTTGTAGGTACGGTGATAGTAATGACTGGAAACTTACAATGAGGAACTCCAGAGTCTATAGTTCGTCCTGCTTCAGTCAGGCAAGATTTTGGAGAGGAACCTCCCCTCATGAGTTTTCTAGTGAGGGTCACAGGCCAGTTAGTAGTGTCTTGTCTTTTCATTTGAGAGACTGAGATTCAGAGAGGCTAGTGAAGACCAGAAACTGAGTTGGTGCTACAAAGCAAGACTAAAGTTTTAAGTGTTTTGATATTTTGTATAAGCTCCTATAGGGAAATTTGAGGAGAATTGACACAGGTAATAGAAGGTTTAGGGTAATGGTAATTTGATAAGGTCACACAAAAGTACTTTTTTTTTCTCCATTTGGTTTTTGGTCTGTATTTGGCTGTGCTCAGGGCATATTCCTGGCTCTGTGCTCAGAGGTCACTCTGGGGTTTGGGGAACTATATGCAGTGCCAGGGGTTGAATTAAGGTTTACCGTGTGCAAGGCAAGCACCCCACCTGCAGTAGTACTATCTTTGTGGTCCCCACAAAAACATTTCTTAACATTTTAGAATGTGTCCCAAAGCTTTTGGCATGCTATGTGAAGTTGGCAGGAAAAATGAAGATAGTGAATTTTGCCAGACATCTTGGTTTTCATTGAGAAAATATGTAAGAATGCTGCGTTTCTGAATTCCAAGATTTTACAAAGTAGGACCAGAAGGGATTATGCTGTTATCCTGTGTAAAGCTGTTTAAAGCACACTTTTTTCTCTTTCTTGTTAACCAGGAAGCTCAAAACCTCATGGCCCTGACCAATGTGGATACCCCATTGAAAGGTGGACTTAACACCCCTTTGCACGAGAGTGACTTCTCAGGTGTGACACCACAGCGGCAAGTTGTACAGACTCCTAACACGGTTCTTTCCACCCCGTTCAGGTATTGTAAATACATATTTTTCTTTCAGAAACATTTAAATGCAGGGACTTAGACAACTTTTTAATTTACTATTGGTGACAGAGAATGAATGTAAATGATCAAGTTGCTTTTTTGCATTTCGGTGTAGCGGAGTGCACCTGGTGCTCCATGATCATGGTGATGCTTGGGATACCACATGTGGGGTGGAGATCAAACAAGGCGAGCAGCATACCCACTGTATTGTCTCACTGGCTCCTTTGCTTTCTTCTTCCTCATAATAACATCGTTAGCCTGGAAATGGATGATGATTATTTGGAGCTTTCTTAAGCCACCGCCGACCCCGTCCCTCTCCCCTCAACCCCCCTCCCCCACAAGTTTCTGGTGCTGTCCTGTGTTCAGATACTCTGTAACTTAATTTTATTATTATCATTGTTTTTTGTTTTGTTTTTGCTTTTTCGGGTCACACCAGTGATGCTCAGGTGTTACTCATGGTTCTGTACTCAGGAATTACCCCTGGAGATGCTGAGGAGACCATATGGGATGCCGGGGTTTGAACTGGGGTCAGTCTGGAGCAAGGCAAAAATCCTCCCTGTTATAGTATTACTCTGGCCTCCTCTGTAATCTGATTTTAAAGAGGGAACCCACCCACTCTTAATGATCATTTGGTGAATTTTACAAAAAATACATACAGTTCATTATGACAATTTCTAGCATCAAAAGAGATTGAGAGAATAAGGTGGACGTTCTGTACCTACCACTAAAGTTCTACAGTTGTTAGTATATACTATATTTGCTGAATTACATTTTTATCCATCCATCTTATTTTTTTAAAATGCATTGCAAAATAAATTGCAGGTATCAGTTGACTTAACTCCTTATCACTTCTTTGTATGAATTATTCACTATAAAGTTTAGAATTCATAATATCTGTCACTTTGTTTTTGAAAGTTTCTTATAAAGCTCAGTTAACTTTTATCATAACTATTTGTTTTACTTTTGTGTTGTTGCTTTTTTTTTTTAAGTTGGGGAGCTTTGGGGCACATAGCACTATTTCCAGGGAATTCAATACAACACATTTTTTTCTCGTTTCCTTTTTTTTTTTAAATTCATTGTTTTTTTTTTTTTTAATTAGTGAAGCATCATGAGGTACAGTTGTAGACTTACAAACTTTTGTGCTTGGGTTTCAGTCATACAATGATCTAGTACCCATCCCTCCACCAGTGCCCATCCTCCACCACCAGTGATCCTAGTAGCTCTCCCACCCCCACACCCCATTCCCCCCGCCCCTGCCTCTGTGGCAGGGCATTCCCTTTTGCTCAGTCTTTCCTTTAGGGTGTTGTAGTTTGCAATAGAGGTTTTGAGTGGCCATCGTGTTCGGTCTATAGTCTACTTTCAGCATGCATCTTGCATCCTGAGCAAGTCTTCCAAACTTCCTTTACTTGGTGTTCCCTTCTCTGTCTGAGCTGCCTTTTCCCCCAGCATGTGAGGCCGGCTTCCAGGCCCTGGAGCAGACCTCCTGGTACTTATCTCAATTATTCTTGGGTGTTCGACTCCCATTCTGTTATTTTATATTCCTCAGATGAGTGCAGCCTTTTTATGTCCCTCTCTTTCTGGCTCATTTCACTTATCATGATACTTTCTATGTAGAACCAGTTGTATGTAAATTTCATGGCTTCATCTTTTCTAACAGCTGCTTAGTATTCCATTGTGTAGATGTACCAAAGTTTCTTTAACCAGTCATCTGTTCTTGGGCACTCGGGTTTTCTCCAAATTTTGACTATTGTGAACAGTGCACCAATGAACATAGAAGTGCCCATGTCATTTCAACTGTACTTTTTTGCCTCTCCAAGAGTGCTGTTGCTAGGTCAAATGGGAGCTCATGTTTTACAGTGTTCTTTAAATATTTTGGTTTTAAAGAATTTTAAAAATATAAACATGACAAAAGCAAATAAAGATGGAATTTGAATTTTGAAAGATTGGAAATAATTGGGGCCTTGCTTTAGTTTTAAATATGAGATTATGTATTCTTGGTCGCTGAGTGAACATTTCAGATTTGAAGTAGTATATGAAACAGGATCAAGAAATAATGACTGTAGATGCATGTTGAAAGTAGACTATGAACCAAAGATGATGGCTGCTTATTACCTGTATTGCAAACCGTAACACCCAAAAGAACAGAGAGAGTAAGAGGGAAAGGGGGATTGTGCCTGCCACAGACGCAGGAGGTGGGAAGGGGTGGGGGTGGGGGGAGGGATACTGTGAACATTGGGGGTGGGGAATGGGCACTAGTGGGGGGGTGGGTACTTGAACATTGTTTGAAACACAATGGAAGTCTGTAAGTCTGTAAATGTATCTCACAATGATTCATTAAAATAAAAAACTTAAAAAAAAAAGAAATATTGACAGCCATAGGCTGGAGTGGTTGTATAGCGGGCAGTCTGCTTGCCTTGTACACAGCTGATCTGGGTTTGATCCCTGGCATCCCCTATGATCCCCTGAGCCCTGCCAGGAGTGATCCCTGAGCACAGAGCCAGGAATAAGCACTGAGCATTGCTGGGTTTTGGCCTTCAAACCAAAACCAAACTAAAAAAATTGAAAACTAAATCCTTGTGTAGTTTGTTTGTAAGAGAGCATAATCCCTCTTTTTCTGTGTATATCTTATTTTTTAACTAGATTGTAAGCTCCTTGGGGGCAGGGATCGTGTGCCTGTTTCTATGTCATTTCTTGTCTGGCATTAACTATCTGTTTGGAATACAGTCAGAATAGAAGTGAGCGATCAAATAGAAAAAAGGCTTAGAAACAAAATATAATTTGAAAAGTCTGAATTGTTGATGGCGCCACTTCTGGTGGTTCTGGGAACCAGTAAAATGCTGGAGATTGAACCTAGAACCTCATACTTAAGGCATATGCTAGATTTACCACTTGAACTATATCCTGACCTGTGAAATTCTCTTATGAGGGGGTTGTTGGGGGGGGGGGGGGCAGAAGGGGACATGGCCAGGCTCAGTTGTGCTCAGGACTTACCCCAGTATCTGTGCTTAGGGATCACTCTTGGCAGGGCTCAAGGGACCACATGCCAAACCCAGGTTGGCTCTGCACAAGGCGAGTGCTTTAACCACTTTATTCTCCAACCCATGAACTTATATATTTTATTTTTGTATCATACCTGATGGTTCTCAGGGCTTACTCCTTGCTCTGTGCTCAGGGATCATAACCTGGTGAGGCTTGGGAGACTATATGGGATCCTAGACTTGAACCTCTGTTGGCCATGTGCAAAGCAAACACTCTGCCCGCTGTACTATTGCTCTGGCCTCTAAACTTAACAAATTCTTACAAGACTCTCTTAACTCTTACTGAGAACTACTCATTTTCAGAGGTGATTCTAAAAGTTTGGTATTTAATTTCTCAACAGTGTGTAAAGGTGGAAATTCTTGAAAGCATGCACTTCAGGATAATTCTTGATGGTCATCGGATATTCAATAATTCTAAGTGGGGAGGAGAGAAAAAATGAGATGGATAACACTGAAATCCAGTGGACAGGAGGTCTTTGACTGTAATAACTGAGCACTACCTACCTCTATATTATGCTTTTAGCTTCCTTAGTGTGTCAAGAAAGTTGAAATGATGTTTGGTGAACCTAGTTTAGGAAGCAAGAGTATATCAACTGTAAGGACTATTTGAAATAGTGCAAATACTGTGTGAAAGTACTAAATGAGCTTAAAACCAGAAGGAGAGAATATTTGGAGTCGTTCTCGAATGCTCTGTATGAAATAGTGTTTTTGAAAACATTTGCTAGCACAATCCAAATAAAAGTGGCACTTGTATTAATTGGCATCTGTCTTTTTAGAACTCCTTCTCAAGGTTCTGAAGGGCTAACTCCTCGCAGTGGAACAACTCCCAAACCAGTTATTAACTCCACCCCTGGAAGAACTCCTCTTAGAGACAAGTTAAACATTAATCCTGAGGATGGAATGGCAGACTACAGTGATCCCTCTTACGTGAAGCAGATGGTATTTATCAGTTCTCTTTAATACGAATTTTTTTTGGTATCAGGTGTCAAATTAAAATTTTCCCCCTTACCAGTAAATATTACTTACTTTAAGAATCTCTACTTCTATGGATGCCACAGAAGTAAAATGCAAGTCTTGAGAAAGGGGAATGATTTGTATTTTTTAAAATTTAATATTTTTATAAAGTACACAATAATTGACTGCATTTAATATTCAAACACCAATCCCACCACCATTACACCTTCCTGCCATTGTATTTAGAATATTTCCATCCTGATCCCCAAACCCTGCCACCAAAGTAGAACCGAAGTAATTTATTTTATATTGTTTGTTATGAATAATGCGCTGAAAATGATCCCAGAAAGTTTTCTTAGAGATGAGTGAATATTGTTGTGTTTCATCCATGAGCCGCTAAGCCTTTCTGTAAGAAATTAGTAACATGTTGTTAAAGGTTAACCCTTTTGTGCTTTTACTTACTTATATATACATATATGTATATACACACACACACTCACACACATATATATATGTATATATGTACATATGTATTTCCCCCTAAGATTGGTTACCTTCTGCTTTTAACCCTATCAAATGTGTGTGCTATTCTTGGTATATCAGTGGTGTCAAGTATGAGATGACTGCTGTGCTTGTGACTGTGAGTTCCAGGAATAGATTACGTCCTGGGTGAGGCTCATCCGAGCGTGTGGAGATCGGCTGTGAGCATGGCGGTGGTTGAGGTCTGGAGGTTTTTGGCTGCCGGGACTGGCTCTGTTGGGGTGGAGAAAACTCACCCCCCCTCCCTTCCAGGTTGCCCTGGATGAAACGGCCTGGCGTGGGGTCTGGAGGCATCTCTGTGGAGTCTGATTTGTATTTTTAAACCTACATTTTTTCATTGTTTGATTATGATTGTACTGAAAATAATACTCCTTTTGTATCCTTGGTGTTTTACTTTTTGAAATTTTGTTTTAAAATTGGTACCTTTGAGTAACAATAAATTGTTACTATTTCTGTAAAATAAAAGTTTGAGTTTCAAATGCCTCATTAATTAGAATTTAAACCTGATTTCTTTGTTTTATATACCTTTAGGAGAATCTAGATCTCAAAGCCAAGTTAATTTGATGTTAATAAGCCAAGTTTATTGCATTAATGTTTACTTATGTGTTTCACAAAGTTTATTTTCTATATATAGAAGACTAATTATAGAAGTAGTATGTCTCTGGCCTCCGAAATTTATTTTTTTATTTTTATTTTTTAAATTTTATTTATTTTTTAAATATGGAATGCTTCACGAATTTGCATGTCATCCTTGAGCAGGGGCCATGCTAATCTTCTCTGTGTCGTTCCAATTTTAGTATATGTGCTGCCGAAGCGAGCACCGAAATTTATTTTTTTAAATGAAAATCCTATGGGCCTCTTTTCCACTGTCCTACAGAGTTAATTTCTAACTCTTCCATTAGAATATTCCAGAATGTCTTCATTGGTTCATAAGTCACTGTTTGATAGCTCTTAATGTGAGAAGAAATGGGAATAGTAATTAAACCTTCCTTCTTAAGGGATTAGATTTTGAGAAGTTTTAGCTAGGCCAGTGACTTTTTAGAACTCTTCCAGAATGCTGGTTGAATTTTTAACGTGTGAGAATTGAGAAGAACCTGTTCATTTCCCTAGGAAAGAGAGTCTCGTGAACACCTGCGTTTGGGCTTGATGGGCCTTCCTGCTCCCAAGAATGACTTTGAAATCGTTCTGCCAGAAAATGCCGAGAAGGAGCTGGAAGAGCGTGAAGTAGATGATACTTACATTGAAGATGCTGCCGATGTGGATGCACGAAAGCAGGTGGGTAATCGTGCTAAAAGGAATTGCCGAAGGTGGCAGTGGACTGAGACTGTGAAGGCTGGTTGTTCACTTGAGAGTGTTTTGTTCAACATCAAGAAAGGCCTGAGTTATGTCATTAAGACACACTCCTATAATTAACATTGTGTTCAGGGTATCGTGATTGGTGTTCTTTTTTGAGGGTGGCTTTGGGGCCACACCCAGTTCTGCTTAGGGTTTATTCCTGGCTCTGTGCTTAGGCACACACTTCCCCGGCAGTTCTGGGAATGGAATTGGGACAGCCGTGTACAAAACAAGTGTCTTAACCCCTGTACTATCTTTCCTGCCCTTTGACTAGCATTCTTATATGTATGTAGCAATTGTAGCAAATCTCTGGAAGTGGCATGTGTCCATCCCCCTTCCTCCATTCCCTCCCATTCTCCCGCTACGGATAGTGGTCTATTTAAAAAAAACCAAACTGCTCTTATATCTCAGTTTAAATTCCGTTTGGCAAACTCATGTTTCTTTCTCCCTCCCTCCCTCCCTTCCTTCCTTCCTTCCTTCCTTCCTTCCTTCCTGTCTGTCTTTTTGCTTTTTTTGAGTCACACCTGGTGACACACAGGGGTTACTCCTGGCTCTGCACTCAGGAATTACTCCTGGCGGTATTCAGGGGACCCTATGGGATGCTGAGAACCAAACCTGGGTCAGCCACGTGCAAGGCAAATGCCCTACACACTGTGCTATCGCTCCAGCCCCTCATGCTTCTTTATGACACACTTAGGAAGCCTTTTCTTGGTGGTGGTGGTGGGCATATCTGACAGTGCTCAGGACTTACTCCAGCCTCTGTGCTCAGGGAGTACTCCTTGTAAGTTTCGGGGGACCATATGGGGTGCTGGGGATTGAACCTAGGTTGACTATGCAAGGCAAATTCCTGACGTGCTCTCCTGTTGCTCCAGCTTCCATGGAAGTCTTTTAGATACTTCTTTTAACTGGAAAGATGATCTTCAGTCTTACAAATAGGTATATGTTAGATTGGATGAGTAAATGGTTTTAGGTTTTATACCACTAAATGGGGATTAGGAAGTGTGGCGTGTTAGTATAATATTAGTAATTCCCTATAGCAATATATCTTGTAATTATTTGCTTTCTCATTTGCACCTAACAACCTAGTGATAGAAATAGGAAAAGTTTGTTTTAGTGATGAGATGAAGATGAATTAAGGTTAACTTCCCATGTTGCATGTCTAGAAGTGTTGTGAATTAAACCATGATTGAGATTTCTGACCCTTTTCAGTAATTCAGTCGGATTTTGGAAATTGAATAATTTTAGGGATAACAAACCTGTATTCTCACTTTATTCAAGTGAGAATGGTATTAGTAGGAATCTTAGTTCCAAGCAGAGTTCCCAAACTTACATGACTGATCAGTCACGCCCATTTCAGACAAATCCCTAAGCAGCCCCCTGGAAATCTCTTGCTGTGGGTAGGGGAGTTCCTGGTACATGAACAGATAAGTCTGCCTTTGCCTGTACTATATATGGCCAGCTGTTGATTTTTGTACATGTTCAAATTACTCTTGATATAAAAAAAATTCACCCCTGTTTAAGGGAGCAAACGGAATATGTTCATCCTCCCTTTCCAGTTTTACCTGTCTCATTCCTGGGCTGTTGCGGGGATGATGCCATTCACTTTGGAAAACATTGATTTGGAGGGACACCACCTGAATGTCCTTTTTGGTAGGAAATCTAAGATATGACTTCGTTTTTAGCTCACAGCTACCTTGTGGGTTGCATTTACTCTCAGGAATAATGTGAAATTCTAGTATGTTACACCACATATTCGTAGGAACCAGGAAATGACACATTTACTGACTTTTTGATTAAAAATTAGTAGTTTTTGGGAAGAGCAGGATTATGTGGCAAGAAGATTAATTTAGATTAATTTACATTTAGAATTAGGAGTGATTTTGTCAAGAGTGATTGACTGTTGGCTGATGCCTTGTAAATTTGGAAAAAGCTTTGGGGTAGACATGGAAACTTCTTAGTTTTTATTGTAATAAAGAGAATAAATAGGTGACTAACATATTTTTGCCTTTATCCAAACTTACATAGATATCTACAGCTTAGCTATCTAACATATTTTTAGTAGGTAAAAAAGTGTTTTCATTGTTACTGGAATGTAGTTGATACTGTGTACCTACAGTAAAAGGTGAAAGGTAAAGGCCCTCCCGTTGTTCCTTGATTTGCTCGAGAGGGCCCAGTAACGTCTCCATTGGAGACTTTGTTGTTACTGTGTTTGGCATATCGAATACTTCACGGGGAGCTTGCCAGGCTCTGCCGTGCGGGCGAGATACTCTCGGTAGCTTGCCAGGCTCTCCGAGAGGGGCGGAGGAATCGAACTCGGGTCGGCCATGTGGGCTGCGTGCAAGGCAAATGCCCTACCACTGTACTATCGCTCCTGTAATTGATAAAAAAAATATTTTTTTAGGCCATACGAGAAGCTGAGCGTGTAAAGGAATTGAAAAGAATGCACAAAGCGGTACAGAAAGATCTGCCAAGACCCTCAGAAGTAAGTGTTGGAATTAGTGATTCGGGGAATTAAAAGTTTTTTTTTTTTTTTTGGTATGACTTTTGCATTGTTTGTAAAATCCGTGTAGAATTCAACTGTTTTTGAAATAATAGTAAAGTGTTTCTCAGATACAGGTTTGTTCGTTTGTTTGTTTGTTTTGGGGCCACACCTGGTGATGCTCAGAGGTTACTCCTGGCTCTGCACTCAGTAACTACTTCTGGCAGTGCTGAGAACCATATGGGATGCCAGGGATTGAACCCAGATTGGCTGTGTGCAAGGCAAGCTTTTTTTACCTGCCACACTATTTCTTCAGCTCCAGATACAATCTTATAAATGCTTTACATAATTTAGAAGAATGAATATCCTTTGAAAATGTAAAATTGTTATTCATGCTAGAGTAAGTACTGTATTACATTGATGTTTAATGATTGTACTTATTTGAAAATTTTAGGTAAATGAAACTATTTTAAGACCCTTAAATGTGGAACCACCTCTAACAGATTTACAGAAGAGTGAAGAACTAATCAAAAAGGAAATGATCACAATGCTTCATTATGATCTTCTACATCATCCTTACGAACCATCTGGAAATAAAAAAGGGAAAACAGTAGGATTTGGTACCAATAATTCAGAGCACATTGCCTATCTGGAACATAACCCTTACGAAAAGTTCTCTAAAGAAGAGCTGAAAAAGGTATGATTAGATTTGAGGGTTTTGTTAGTTACTGCATATCATTAATCATCAAGCTGTACCTTATTTTTCTCCCACTTGTGTGTGTGTGTGTGTGTGTGTGTGTGTGTGTATCAGGGATTGAACCACATTCCAGGGCATGTGCTTTACTACTGAGCCACGTTCTTGGCTCCTTATTTTCCTATATTGCTGTTCATAAACAACTGAGATACACTCTAGGTAGGACACAAGTGTTTGTGTTGTGATGTAATGCACACATTTGCCACCCACTTCCTAGCCCCATGGTGGATGTTCTCCAGGTGAACTCTGGCTTTGGTGACAGGGTGTTTCATGATTCTGTTCCCAGTTTCTACACTTGCCGGTAAGGCGTTTGCCTTGCACGCAGCCAACATGGCCGACCCGAGTTCGATTCCTCCGCCCCTCTCGGAGAGCCCGCAAGCTACCGAGAGTATTCGATATGCCAGACACAGTAACAACAAAGTCTCCAATGGAGACGTTACTGGGCCTGCTCGAGCAAATCGATGATCAACGGGAGGGCCTTTACTTTACTTACCTGAAATCGAATTAAGTGCCCGAGCCCTCACTTTAGACTAATGTAGAAAAGTTAGAATTTTTTTGAGGGGGAACAGGGGGTATTGGGCAACACCCGCTATTCTTAGTTCTTACTCTTGCTTCTGCTTAGGAATCATTTCTGGCAGTGCTCAGGGGACCATATGGGGTGCCAGGGATAGAACCCTGGTGGGCCATATGCAAGACAAGTGCTCTACCTACTATACTATCTCTCTGGCTCCCAAAAGTTAGAATATTTTATAAGTGTTGACTGGGAATGTAACTAAATGATAGAGAATTTGCCTTACGTGTGAAATCATGGGTTTGATCGTTAATACTGAAATAAAAGATTAGAATGTTTAAAATAGATCAAACCTTTCATTTACTCAGAGGAAAGTCCCCCCCCCTTGGTTTTATTTCCTCTCATGTGATATTTACTTTTCCCTTTTAGAAAATAAACTTTTTTTTGTTAAAAAAAAAAATCTTTCCTGCCTCTTCCATTCCCATTTTATTCTTTAACAAAGCAAATTGGTTACTTGTGAATTGAAGTCTTGTAAAAATATAAGAAAGTACAATTGGTTTTATCATTAGAAGCAAAGTGGTTGGGTGGCTGAAGAGTTTTTTCCTTCAGTCTTCAGCCCTGAGGGCTAGGTAGATCCATTTGAATGGGGTTAATCCACTTGTGGGAGCAAGTACTTATTTTCTTTTTCCTGTCTTTTCTCCTGCACTTACTCTCTTACCTTCTCTTCTTCTGTTTTTATTTTTTTTTATTTTTTTATTTTTTTAATTTTTATTTATTTATTTTTTTACAGTTGTAGATTTACAATTTTTTTTGTGCTTGGGTTTCAATTATACAATGATCAGATACCCATCCCTCCACCAGTGCCCGTTTTTCACCACCATGGATAATATCCCTCCCACCCTTCTTCTGTTTTTATTATTGCATAAGTAATACATGCTTTTATTAGAGAATTTTTTAGAAAACAGGAAGTAAGAGTTTTCTATTTCAAAACTTTGCCTTAGTTACTTCTGAATTACTCTTTTTTGGTAAATTGGTTGAAAACTGACATCTTTTGATGTGGCTAGCACACTTAATTAATTGGCATTGAGAGTAACAATATGAATTCCATACTTGAATTGATTCTTTTTAGAGTGAAAATATGAGAAGAAGGAATTTCAAAAATAGCTTTTCTGAGATTTGTTGTGTATGTAGAAACTTGAAATAAAGATTGCATTGTTGTTTAAGAGATTCAGTTGAGGGAATAGATTCTAGTAAAATTGTGAAAATTGTGATTGTAAAGAGTGCTTAGGAATTATTTAAAACTATTACAAACTAGTTTAAATATTTTCCTGCATTTTATTTCTCTACCTTTTTTTAAAAAAAGATTTTGAAATAGTTTATATAGCAATTGGTTATAGATAAGGATAACTTAGTTGTAGTCTTGCCTAATAATTTGAAGAGCTGAATTTGTAACTTTTCATTATGTGTAGTTTCTGAGTGAAATATCGTTTTAATGCAAAGTGTTAGATTGTGGGCAGCTATGTTAAAATTAGTTTGTCTCTGTAATGTTCCTAAGAAATGCTGTTTAAAAGTGTTTTTTATCTTCTAAAGCAGTGGTTTTTGTTTTTGCATGTGTTTATTTACTTTTTTCTGTTGAGTTATTTTGTATACTGGTCTTTTTTTTTTTTTTTGAGTTTCTATATTTTTGTTTTTTCTGATGTTACTAGTACCGAGACATTACTGGGCCCGCTTAAGCAAATCGATGAACAGCGGGAGGACAGTGCTACTAGTACCACTGAAAATTTTTTTCTCTTCCCTTGTCATTGCTAATGTCTGGGATGGACATAGAGCCCTCCAAGTGCAAGCAATGTGCTTTACCAGTTGAGCCACACTCTCAGCTCTGGAAAGCATTTTACAAAGCCCAGAAGTGGGTATTTTTCTGTGAATCACAGAACAAGTGCCGTGAAAAGTTTGTGTATAGGTATGCTTGTGTAATCTAGCTCTTAGAATATGTTATTTCACTTCATGCTACAAATGAAATGGCAGGTAGGCTGATCCTCGTTTTCGAAATGAGAAACAGGTGCAGAGAAGTTCAAGTGGAGAAAGCTGCTGAAGTGGTGAAGCAGTGACTTACACCTAAGCTTGTCCAGTGATCACACCCCCCCGCCCCCCATTCTACATCTTAATCTGCTTCTTTTGTAACAGGGGAAAAAAACTAATTTTCGCCCCTGATTTCCTTCTCTGACAGTATCAGGGATGTTTCTCTGGATGAGAAAAAAGACATGCCCCCAAATAAAGTGCCCCATTTCTCCTGCATTCTTCAATGAGGGAGGGAGGGTACAGTGTAGGAGCGCATCCAAGCATTGGATCTTCGGCTTGGGCAAGGTCCTGCCCTGTTTGCTTAGTGGAGATGCTTTCTTGCTCAGTTGTTTCATCCAGTGCATAAACTTTAAAAAGAAAATTTTAATATTTACTGCTTATCAGGTGTTTGTGGTGCTTGGAAGTAATGTAGGTGAAACTTTTAAATGTAGTTCCTGGAACATAGAATAAACCTTAGAAATATGTAGTGTAATGTGTAATATAAATGTATTATAATGACTGAGGCTGAAGATGTTCTCATTAATGAAGACAACATGGATGCTTGGCTTTTGTCAGATCAGTTTGCATTGATTTCTTATGTTGCTTTGTTTTTGTTTCTTCAAAGGAGAAAAAGCAAATACTTTAAAACTCTTTGTTGATACCAAATGACTGATACAACTCAAATGTTCTAAACAGGCCCAGGACATTCTGGTACAGGAGATGGAAGTGGTCAAACAGGGAATGAGCCATGGAGAACTCTCCAGTGAAGCTTACAACCAGGTGTGGGAAGAATGCTACAGTCAAGTGTTGTATCTTCCCGGGCAGAGCCGCTACACTCGGGCCAATCTAGCTAGCAAAAAGGACAGAATCGAGTCGCTTGAAAAGAGACTTGAGGTCAGTATCCTTTTAAATGTCTGATTTAAATGTACTTTGAGACAATGACCATGTTATAGCGCTTGAGACATTTTCAGAAAAACCGACCTGCAGTGATAACTGCCTTGGTAATTCTTTTTTTTTTTCTTTTTGCTTTTTGGGTCACACCCTGCGATGTTCAGGGGTTACTCCTGGCTCATGCACTCAGGAATTGCTCCTGGCAGTGCTCAGGGGACCATATAGGATGCTGGGAATCGAACCTGTGTCGGTCATGTTGGCTGCATGCAAGGCAAACACCCTACCCGCTGTGCTATTGCTCCAGCCCATGCCTTGGTAATTCTTGAGGTGATTGATCCTCCTTAGCAATCGACTTTTTCAGAATTGCTGGCCTTCATGATAAGGCACATGCCTTTCAAATTGGCAAGAGATCGAACAAAAGTATTTAGACGTAGGGACAAGGAGACAAGACTCAGGACAATGTAGATCACCGTGAATATAGCTTGATCTCTCTAAAGAGGTGTTTCAGGAACTTTCTGTTGGCGACAGCATATTTGCAGATCTTTAAATTCTGCTTATTCCGATTCCTGTGAGTGTGTGCTGCGGAGGAAGTGTCTAGCTGGATTTTGTAGACATTGCTGCCATGATTTTGTTCACGTCTGTGAAAGTGTTGAAATGTCTTAGATGGAAGTTTCATGACTTGTGGTTTCTTAATATAATCTGCATATTTTGAATTCCAGGATCTGTGTAGGCATTTTGCGACTGGCATATAAGTTGTGGTCCGTGAACTAGTAGGCTGCCTTTGGATTTTATCTTTCATTTTTCGGTCATACCTGGCGGTGCTTACTCCCGGCATGCTTGGGGGACCAGATGGAGTGCCAGTGATTGTACCTGGATAACTGGGGTTAACTGTGTGTAAGGCAGGCACCCTACCTCAGGCCCCTTCTTGTGGATTTTTACAGGTGGTCTTCAGGAATGTCTCTTAGGCCAAGGTGGGATGGGAACGGGAACAGTTAAGCTTCAAGTAATTGCATACAGAAAATGGGCTTGGTTTTCTTTAATATGATCAGTTTCTCTCCAGAAAAGCTGATTTGAAAATACTTTCGTTTGGGGTTAAATTAAAAATAGTAAAATTACTTGGGGTGGTTGGGGCAATGGATTGTTAGAAAAATGAAAAACAAAAAAGCAGCATCTTAATTGGAACTTGGCCTAAGCCATACTTTAAAAAATTTATTTTATTTTTATTTTATAAAGTAGTTCACAATATTTGATTACATTTAATCTTCGAGCACCAATCCCACCACAATTACACTTTCCCACCACTATATTTCGGATGTTTCCATCCTGAACCCCAACCCCTGCCCCAAAGCAGAACCAAAATAATTTATTTTGTATAACTGGTGAAAATGCTACAAAAAAGTTTCCTTAGAGGAAAGAGTATGAAGACAGTTGTATTTCACCCAGAGCCCATTAAGCCCTTCCACAAGAGATCACTAACATGTTCTTAAAGGTTGAGCCATGTGTACTTATATGTATCTGTAGAAAAAAAATATTTCCCTCTAAGATTGGTTGCCTCTTACTTTAAGTTCCATCGTTGTGATGTGGTACTCTTGGAGTATGGGTGGTGTCAGGTCAGAGTTGTCCAGGAGTAGGTTTTCACTTGTCGGTGAAGCTCTGCCGAAGCGTCTGGGGAGAGCAGCCGCGAGGATGGTGGCGGTTGAGTTCTGGAGGTTTTCCAGCTGCCGGGGCTGGGTCCCTTGGGGCGGGGAGGGGTCTCACCCGCCCCCCTCAGGAGCGCCCTGAGTGAAACAGCTTGGTGTGGGGTCCAGTGGCTGGCTGTGGCGTGTGTCGTGGTAAGGACGTACGACTCTGGATCATTGCTGATGACGAGATTATCTGGCCCCAGGCAGAGGTGGCTTGTGGGCATGACTGTTGAGTTGCCGGAAGCAGGGGGACACGGGCGAGGATCCCCGTTCCCGGTTCCATTGAACCCAGAGTTCTCAGTCATAAAGTCCTGCATGCCTGGGTTTTCTGCAGATTCACTCATGGGTGAGGTGGGCCCCAGTGGGTGGAGAGTGGCCATGAGCAGGCCATACTTTTTTTGAGCCTCCTAAGTCATACTTTCATGAACACCGTACAGCCACCTAGTCATTTAAAACATTCTTTTACATCCTTCCCCTCGTTGTTTATGTTGCAGGGATTGTGGATTTCACATATAACTGGCTCTGCAAGGGGTTACAAACCGGGGTTGTGGTCCTCTCACAGGGCCACGTCTTGATCCTGCTGGTGCGTGTTCGTGTGTTTGCAGGGAGCACCCTTGGTTGAGGCACACAGGTTAGGTTTTTGGTGGTCACTGGGGTTGCTGCAGTGCTCATACATGCTCCAGAGGTCGCACGTGTAGGTCTGTGTTGTGGCTCTCACGCACCTTGTACTCATTTGTGGAGCGTGTGGGGGTTTGCATTCACTTTGTGATACTCACACCTGTCTGTGGTACTGCTGGGAATTGCAGAGCTGGCATTCACACACAGCAGAGCTGTGAGAATTGTACTTGGGTGTTTTTTTCCTCCCCCCCAGTGCTGGGATTGAACTCAGAGCCTCATAAGTTCACAGCAAGCACTTTACCAGCTTGGTAAAGTCCATCCCTGGCTCTAGACATCTAGTAGTTAATCCTTATGAATACATCTTACTAGTGGGAAATCATAGCTCCGAAATCTCACTTTTAGCAATCCGGTGTTACTGGACACTAGTTGTATTGCTAACTTCCAGCAGGGCGTGCTGTTGCTCTGTATTTTAATGTACAGTTAAAAGTCAGAGAAAGGAGGACATTAGTGGTTAAAGTTATGTTTTCTGTTGTGTAGGCTTCATTTCTTATAAATAGTAGTTAGGAGTGTAATTTTGATCTCAGGTCAGCATCATCATTGATTGGAAAACTATTTGGAACTCTTTCTTTTAAAACTTACGTATAAATACTTAGTTCTTGTACTTAGTTTGAAAACCTTATTTGAGGTGGATAAACTCTGCCTCAGACGGTAAGGACATTTTGTGCTGTTTAAATTTGGGGGTTGTGGGGGGAAGTCTTCCCTAAATCTCATTTACTTTGTTTAAGCCCGAACTTTCATGACAGCATATAAATGTGTCACAAAGTGAATGGTGCCATAAAGTACAGTAATTTTTATTTCTATGTTGAATTGGTCTTGTGAGTTTTGAAGGGAAAAGTACAGAAAGAACTACTGCTTGTTCTTTTAGAGATTTATTTGGGTCGTTTATGAGCAACCATTAAAAACATGTGGCTCTCTTTGTTCGGTTCAGTACCAGGAACTGAAATCTTCCGTTGAACTATTTTTGTTGAAGGATTGGTGATTTTGGAAGAATATTCATAAAACAGTTTGAAGTAATTTTTCTTCTCTTGACTCCTGGATAACTTTCTTTATTGTTTACCTAACTAGTTACTCTTAAAGAATACACAATCAGATCCTTTAATTTTGTAAACTGTGCTTAGTTCAAATGAAAGTTCATTAAATCTTTAAAAGAAGAAAAGAGACTAAAAAACCCAAATAAACAAATTCCCCATTTTATTTGTATTCATCCTTAATTCAGGACTAGGTTTGTCTTAGCTTATTTTCGTTTTTGAAGACACAATTTTACTGGTTTGAAATACATAAATATTTTATTTCAATTGTGGGAATTCTTTCATCATTTCAGTTGATTGCTAAATTATAAACATTATTCAAAGTTTGTGGTGGGGAAGGAACTCTAGTTGTATTATATAAACTGAATGCTATACTTAAATGATTCTTTCCACTCTTAGGCTCGGGAAGCTGTGCCTCTCTGTGCAAGCACAGCACACCATGGCTGCCAGTGTATTTGATTTTTGCTGCCATGAACTTTGGAACAGTGAATTTAAATTATGGCCCTATCATAGCCTATCAAGCCAGATGAAATCCAGCTTTTTCGTGGTTGGTGTCTCGTAAATGGTTTTAAAAAATATGCCCCGAGGTTTATATTAGAGTTGGACTTTGAGTCATTACTCATGATTAATATTTGAAACTTAGAACTTAAATGAAAATCCTTAAGATATCATTTAAAACTAATAGAACCATCTCAGACCGTATGTCGAATGTGGTGTGGTGGGTGGTGCAGGGAGTCTGTTAAATAAACAGAATCAGAATGTAGTCACAGGTCAGAAGTAAGTGGGAAAGAAAGACTTCAGAATTATAATCAAGCCCTTGTATTTGATTCTGCTTCGGAGGCAGAATTAACCTTGCCAGACATTTGCGTGTAAAACGGCAGCAGCAGCAAGCCGAAATGACAGTTAATATGAGAAAAAGAAAATTATGAAAGCAGAACATGTTGAGGCCATTTATTCCTGTGACTGAAAAACCTGATGTGTTCGCTATTAGATGTGCAATAGGAAGGGTGGAGTGCTGTTCGTTGTGATACCCCAATGAATAAGAAAAGCTTAATTTCTTTTGCGTTGTTTTTTTTGGGGGGGGGGGGACATGGATGGAGGCAACTGTAGAACCAAACTTTCATCAGACGGTTAAAGTAAAAGAACTGCAGTGCTTGATTTAATTATGCTTTCTGTGAATATTGCTGAGCATCAGTAGTGTGCCAGCCCCGGTTCTGGGCCTGGGGGGGATACGGAGAGGACTAGGCAGACGAGCTCTTTGCTCTTGTGGACGACTTCATTTATCTGGAAAACACTTAGTATGGAGAACCTCATTTTCTGAGGATGCCAGGTAAATGTCATTTCTGTATTTGGGAAGTGCAAATAGAATTTGAAGTGTACTAATTTGTTTCCACTTTAAGTGGAAATCGGAATTTGTCTGGAGACATAATTATTTTGAGTGAAATAATTTCCAGTAGGTGCAAAAGTTAAATGAGAAGTCTGAGTTTAGGCCTGCCATTAAATTTAATAGTATTTGAAACAGTATCTAAACTGCTATGTTGAGGAAGCTTGGCTGAAAAGTAGATTTTGTCATGTTAGCTATAAAAATGGAAAGATTTTCCTTAGAGGTGGAAAC